AGTATGTTTTCTCTGTGAATAATATAAAAGTGTAAGAATGCCTTCAATGTTCCCTCCCTCAGAAATAATAACTATCCATCTTATAGTAGAGGGATGCTACTTTAGATATAATTAAAAATACATAGTGGGGATCCCATGATAGATTAGCTTTTCCCTAATTCCCGTCGAGATTCTCTCCCTTAGTGCAGCTATAACGGCTCTTGTCTCTTGGCTGGATCTTGATCGGGCTTGGTATTGGTCGATTTTCAGGTTTAGAGCTCGATATTGACTTGGGGCCCGGTATTGACTTTGGCTCGGAATTGGTCGGTCTCTGACTCTTAAGCTCGATAACACCGCCTCACATCATAGTTCGATTTGGAATCGAGCTCGGTATTGACTTCGAGCTCGGTATTTACTTGTTCCTCGAAACTTGAGCTTGGTAACCTGGCTTCGAATCTCATATCGATATTATGAAGATGGCCTTCGATTCATTACGTTCCAATCTTGACTAATCGTTCGAATGTCGAAAACCGATTTTGACCGTATACAACAAGTATTTTGAATTCGAATATCTTTTAAAAATATAAGAAGATTGAAGATAAATTAAAATATACGAAGTTACAGAAAATGCATTAAAACTTTTATTAAATATTTAAAAATGTATAATATAAGTTAACTATCTAGACATAATAATGTGCCAAATATTACTTTGAATACCGATCTTTTGAGTGTTGAACGATAAAACATTTATCAGATGTTAATACATTTAACACAAAATAGTTACAAATAAAATCCCAACCAATAAAATCAATTATTACAAATAAGATCTTATTGCTGCATTAGAAGATATAAATATTGATTAATCTGGTAAACATTAAATGGTACCAATAAACCAGTGAAAATAGCACAAGCTAGTCAGTTTTCGAATTGGTAATTGAAAAATAGCCTGTGTTTGCAAAGTCATTGAAAAATATCCATTATTTTACTGCAATACGGAAAGTTCCAGCATAATATATTAGAGATTGGTACACATGTGTATGAACTTCTAGTATATTATGTTGGAACTCCAACACATGAAAAGTTTCAGCATAATATATTGGAGATTGAAGCACCTGTGTATCAACTTCCAGCATATTACGTTGGACCAGTATATTATGCTGTAAATCCAATATATTATGCTGGAAGTCCGGTATATTATGCTGGAAATCCAGTATATTATACTGGAATATTTTCTGAATTTTGTACAGTGTTTTCGTTCAAATTGATCTTTACATGAAATGTGACTAAATTACGATTACTTTTGAAACTGTGACTATTTTTCAATTACCACTTGTAAATCTGGCTATTTTTGAATTTCACCCAACAAACCATCCCCAACCTTCAATTAACCTTTTATAAAGGGTCTTATAGTTTGATCTATCTAACTAAAGAAAAATAATAAAACGTGCAAGAAGCGCTACTAGGACTAGGCCTGACCTGGATGGTGAGCTGAGCCAAGCCCAGTCAAGCCTAACAAATTTACCGGGGGATTTGCAGTCGTACCCTATATTTGTACCACCTTTTAACATGTACCCTATTTTTTTAAAATAATTGATTCTGTAACCATCTCACAAAAAAATTGTAATAATATGACAATTACACCCCTGACAAAAGATATAAAACGATATCCTCCCCTCTTCTCAGCAGCTTTATAAAAATATCAGAAATTTGTCCAGATTCATCTTCAGAATCACACTTGCATGAAATTGTTTCACCTTGAAGCTAAAACTTCATGCTAATATAGCATGAAGTTATTTCATGTTGAAGCTAAAACTTCATGCTAATATAGCATAAAGTTGTTTCACATTGAAGCTAAAACTTCCTGCTAATGCATGCTGAAGTTATTTATCCTGCAGTCTACAGTTTTGTTATGAATTTTATCCGAAACTTCAGTCTAAACATGTTGAAGTTATTTAGTTCATTTGCTAAAACTTCAGACTGAACATGCTGAAGTTATTTAGTTCATTTGCTAAAAGTTTAGACTAAACATGCTTAAGTTATTTAGTTCATTGCTAAAACTTCATACTAAACATGCTTAAGTTATTTAGTTCATTGCTAAAACTTCATACTAAACATGCTTAAGTTTTTGTCTTGCAATGTGATTTTCTAAAGAGTTTTTGCTAATGCATGCTGAAGTTATTTAGTTCATTTGCTAAAACTTCAGACTGAACATGCTGAAGTTATTTAGTTCATTTGTTAAAACTTCATACCAAAACATGCTGAAATTTTGTAACGCAGTCGACAGTTTTGTCCTGAGTTTTATCTGAAATTTCAGTCTAAACAAGCTGAAATTTTTTAGTTTATTTCCTAAAACTTCAGCCTAAACATGCTTAAGTTTTTGTCGTGCAATTTGTCAATAGTCTTTTATTAAAGAAGGGCAAAATCATTTTTTTAAAATACTTTTAACAAAAAATGGGCACGGATGCAAAACGGAAATACAAAATGGTTATAAGTTAAAAAGGGGCGACCAAATAGGGTGCCTCATGTAATTTTTTCAAATTTACCTAGTGCCGAGCCCGAGTTTTGCCAAACATTTAACAACATCGTGTCAAGCCAAACCCTACCAAACTTTATTATACCTTAGCCTAACCCGCTCGTCATCACTCCATCATCCGAATTTACAATGAACTTGTCGAGACTCTAGATGTTTGTTCTTTTTAGGGTCGTCAAATTTGGCCCAAGATCAAATGACCCGCCCAACTCGCTCAAGGTTGGGCTAATTATTGACCCGTCCATTTATTGAACTTAGCCCAGCTTAACCAACTCATCTCAACCCCTTTAAAGTTGTGTTGATTTTGTCCAAATTGATATATGAGTAACTTTTCCAAAATCTTTTAGACATAATTTTTTTTTTTTTTTTATATGTTATATATGACCATAACAAAAGAAAAATTATCTTATTTGATAATTAAACAATTCAT